AGCCTCCTCTTCTCCAGCCTGAACAATCCCAGTTCCTTCAGCCTCTCCCCATAAGACCTGTGCTCCACAAGCTTTGTTGCCCTTCTTCAGACATGCTCCAGGGCCTCAATGTTTCTTACACCAGAACACAGCACTTAAGTTGTGGCCTCATCAGCGCCAAGTACAGCAGGACAATCACCCTGCTAGCCCTGCCAACTACACTATTTCTGATAGATGTCAGAATGCCATTGTCCTTTGCCACCTGGACACACTGTTGGCTAGTGTTCAGCAGTGTCAACTAACAGCCCCAGATCCTGAGGAGTGTTAGAACACCAATCAGAAATCCTGAATATCAGCAATCCTGTACTGACGTTCAGGAAAACATAGCAACAAATATTTCAGGTACTGAATGCAAGCAATACCTGATTTTTGTTACGTGGATTTGATTGGCTGCTCACTATTATTAGCATGCTATATTTAGATGAGTACACTCTATTTGCTCATTGGAACATTGGTCCTAAGACTGCTGCCTCTGGAGTAAACAAACATTACTAACTCTAAGCTGAAGGATCAGTGCTTCTGTATTACTGGAGTATCGAGTAGGGGCAAGCCAAGTGTTTATCTCACGTAACGCAGGACGTAACTGTGCAGAAAACAGTCTCAATCAGAAAGAAGACTAAAGCAAGTCAACCAGAAAAAAGCTGCCAAACATGGTCTCCAGTGCTGAGCACAAGCAGCAGGCAGAACAGGTTCTAAGGCCACTGGTTGAGCCGACAGCATAATGAGGAACTGAGAGTTTCTGAAACCAAGGGAAATTACTCAAGCTAAATGCTCTAAGCAAATCTACAAACATACTGAAGTGGTTTATCTTTAGTATCTGTGGTGATGGATAATCTATGGCACTAAACAATGTTTTTCCTTTCAAAAGAGTTAGCAACAATATTTAGATGTCTTTCCAATTCTGAACTGTTATTACTTCAACGCAAGATCATTAGCACAAGTACCCAGCAAGTTAGAGATACAAGCTCAGAGGAAAGAATATTAACATCAAAGCTAAGCCATTCAAATTTCTTCTATCACTCGCTCTTTTCTAAACCCTTGGCTAAATGAAGTTGGAAAAAATGAAAAATGTAACCTTAAGTCAAACAAATTTAACCCATTGTCCAGTGCCCATAGATTACACGTCATCTAAATAGAGCTGCAAATGCTGTATTTTTTTTGTTTGTTTTGTTGTTGTTTTGGTTATGATTTACGTGTTCTCAAAGTACTTACATCCCTTCATCCCTTACTCCTCCCCAGAAAGAGTTCAAAGCTGAAGAAACTAAGAAGTAAGAACTTGTTTAAAAGGAAATGTAAAGCTATGATGATCTATTTGTAACTTATAACGCTGTCATAACAGCAATTGCAGTACAGTTTCCCTAACAGTGTGGAGTCAACAATGCATTATATCCCTATGGCAGTTAGGCTTGGTAATTAATATCATTCCCTTTTCACACAATTCATTTATTTATTTGAACTTTCTTTTTATTAGGAGAATAGGGGGAGATATGGATAACTGAGGGTTTTAACTACAGGATTTACCAAGCATTGGAAATCCAAACCTGATCATATTTTAAACACACTCCAGGTAAAATGTCTACTTAGCTAGAACAAAGGAGGAAAGAATAATGGACAATTTGCTACATTATTAGTGAATGAATATAACACAGAACAGAAATCTACAAAAAAAAAAAAAAGGAAAAGAAAACAGCAACACAAAAAACCCATAACCTAGATGGAAAAAGACAGTGCCAGTTATACTTTGCCATTTCTGGTGAGTCATCAAAAGCAGAAATCAAAGCCTATGCCCTTCAAATCTGCTGTCTTTCTGGTACTTAATTATTTAGTACAGTCCACTACAACTCACTGGGCAAGCTCTTTGGCTTCAAGCACTGTAGCTTTGTTCGTTCTCCAATTACCACAAAGTCAACTGAATTCCTGTCAGTCTGCCAAATGCAGTAATTCCAGCATGGCACATTTCATACATGAAATCACTCTAAGTGCTCATAATGCCAACTCCAGATTTAACTACCATTCTTTTCTCCCTCCCCTAATTTTTCTTTCCACCCCCTCCAACTCACACAACACTTTTCCCCCCCAGCATGAATTTCAGCAAGATTTTCTGTTAGAGTCTTCAACATCCAAGCACCAATCTCCATGGTAACATAATTTTGTTACCATGCAATAGTATGCATAGTCTGAATGTAAAAATAAGAACAAAAACAATTATTAATCCACGAACTACAGATTTCTCTAGTGTGCCTTTCCAGGAAGGGCCCAAAGTAGATAAAAGCTACGGTTAATTAAGATAGGAATTATAGATGTGACTGAGTAGCTCATTGTGCAACCCTGACGCTCATTTTTGAGTATTTTACCAGGGTAGATCTTAGCTGCTGTAAGTTTTTATTGCAACTATTTTTCCACATCACTGTAGTGATGATATCCTTCTAAGCAATTCTGTCACACATCCATCTTCCACCAGAAGAGCACTTTTAGACAGAACATCCTTCCCAAAGCTGACCTATAAAAAGGGTTGTTTTTTTTTTTTTCAGTGGAAAATTGTCCATAAGCTGCAAATCTCCAACATGCTGCTTGCTGATCTCTTATTTGGAATCACTCCATTTTGCAGCCAAAAGACATTAAATGCATTATTAATTGTTTCCCTTTCTTCCCTTGTAACCTTCAGGCAAAACACACGCATGTTAAGTTATAAACTGTAATGGGGACAGAGCTAATGTTTTAGTTTTGTGTAGACGTAAATGCAAAACTGCTCCGTGTTCATAGTTCTCTATGTAGGCAAAGCCAGTTTTCTTCAGAAAAGAGTAGATGAGTACAAAGAAAGGACAGCTGTCCTGCTTATCCTCATTACTACACACATCAGGCTAAGGAACCCAGAAAGGAAAGACTACACTTCTCCTGAGCAATCATTAGTTAAATCCCTGTTACACAGTGCAGTCAGGCAGCATGGAAGAAAAGCATCCTGAGATGGATTAGAAGGCTGGAGAACAGAGTTTGCCTGCAGCAGAGAGCATATTCTCAGAAGAGACAGGATGAGACTGCTTCTGAAGAGGCCTAAGAGGCTGTGAAATGCATGCAATCTTGAATGTAACTGACTGCCCAGATGCAGGACTCATGGGAAAGGATCCATACTGCACAGTAGGTGGAGTTAGGTTTGGTGGAGTAAGCAAGCAAAGTTCCATTTATATAGACATCTTACTCTAGTTTATAAGCTTAATAAAATCTACCATAAGGACTAAGAGCCTTCTGAAGTTTTTGGCTGGCTGATATTAATGAATATACTGGGAACCTGCATTGTAAGGCTCCGACTAATTTGGAGTCTTCTAAAAACTATATAGAAACATAGGTTCTAGTGTAAGGTGGTAGTGCAAATAAGACAATTACGCTGGTGACAAGACAGATTACTGAAAATTGGCAAATAAACAGATGAAAAAACTATTAGTTAACTGAAGATCAAAATCAGAGGACCACTGGGTAGGACACCTACATGAACCTCTTCAGCATATTGAAGACTCTATCAGTTGTCTGATACTTTGGCTGATTTAACGGAAAACTATCAATCTACATCTGTGATAGTATACATCACACTGTCAGATAAGATATATGATTTGGACAAGTACGTCATATTCACACATGTTCCAGATTTAAGTTGGCAGTATCTATCACGGCTATTAAACTCATCTTAAACCTGTAACCAAAGCATCTCTAAACACCTATTCAGTTCCTTTGCCAGAAATGATGCAAACTCTGCTTGGCTCTGTGTTAGCAGGCTGGAAGCCTATACTGCAGAACATATATTTTGACTACAGTCAGAGTCAAGTATCACGCTCTACAGTTACTACAGAAAAATTCCTTCAATTTCTCCATTCATCTATATTTCACTAAAGACAGCTTCACAAGTCATCTAGATCAGAAAAGCCTGAAAAGACCAGGATATTATTCACTCTTCTATTTGGTGTAACAGCTTCTGGTAATATCAGACAGACAAGCCTTCAGTCCCTGCAAGCTGCCACTTAATTACAAAGTGATTACTATTGTGTGGCTGTACTGCATTTACATTTACTTGAAGCACTTAGCCACTATTTGAAGCAGTCATCAAGATGGCTAATGCTGTCTCTCATATACAAACATTTAAACCAAATTGTGCAATAACACATAACCTAATTTATACTTTAAGTCTGATAAAATATGAGCTGATACGCCATCAACAATTTCTTGGCTCAAGGGCTATGATTGAAACTCACAAAAGCCAGCAACATTAGTTGTAAGTCATGCACCTAGCCCTTAAGCTATTATTCGCAAAGGGAAGTTGGATGTATACCACAAACATGTTTTTATATAAATTCTCTGGATCAAACATTTGCAGGGAAAGAGGCAATGAACATCCTTTGAACAAAAAAATTAGAGCAAGGCAGTTGTCTCTGAAATTCGCAAATAGGCTAGCAACAAATTACTGTGGAAAAGATGGCAACATTTACCATCATACACTATTCATTAAGAAGGAAAGTGTTACTTAAAGAGCAACAGATTCCATGATTTCCTCTGAATAGTAGGTTTTGTTGTTAAAGATTTAGCAGTGAAAAGAATAGGCAAAGGTTAAACTTGCCTTCAATATTTTTGACAGAGGAAGAGTAAGGGGAAAGGACAAGCTACTTGAAGTCACGGGTGCAACACAGCAAGGAATATTTAGAAGATAACTCTTCCAGTTGCTGACCAATTCCAGTTACCTGGGAGACATTACAAATTTTCATTAAAAATACTAACTTACAAATTCTTATCTAAGATCCATAGTAGTTAAATGAGACAGAAGAAAATGAAACTTGATTTGACAAGAAATCACATTATAAAAAATTCCAAACCAAAACCAGGCCAGCCTGTGAGGCCAAATGTAAAGCATCACATATAGCGTTAGTTTTACAATAATTTCTCAATTCACTTTAAAAAATAAATAAACAAAAACTTACCAACTCTGCACTAGTCCAACTGAAGGCCTGTTAAGTAAGTTATCAGGCAACAAATTGACTTCTCTCATGGTGTTAGCTAGCCGCACAGGAAGTTCTTTCCGCAGAAACATGTAGGAAGTCTTCTCACATGCATTGTCACGACCTGTTACAGGGGAGGAAAATAAATACACACGTCCATTGCAGCAGATCGATTTTTAGACTCATAGTGTCAAAAGATAGGAAAAGTCACTGGAGGGGAAAAAAGTAACTTTTTTCAGTACTTGGCTTCCCTCTCAGTCCCAACATACATTTTTGGATGCTTTTTCCTTCAGTACAAAGGATAGTACTTTTGACTTTAAGCTCACCCCCTTCTGTCAATGATATTAATTCCTTTTTTTCCACTTTGAGTTTCTGACTGCCTTCATCTAGTCTCCTCATTCATTCATACAGGCTTCAACCCAGCCAGCACCTCACAAACATACCAACACAAGTACATTACAGAGAAAACTAGAAACTGTCTGTTAGTCTCCAACAGACGCTCAGCCCCTTTGATTACAATGTCCTCTCCACTTCACATCTGCAGTAACTGCAGATGCCTCCTAACACTCTCACATTAAAAGTTTCAGATTTGAGTTTCTCATTATTTCATATGTCCAAGAGAAGAAATGGCTTTGCAAGGAATGGTTGTGCTGATGAAGGGCATCAAGACATAACTCTTTCCTCTATTTGCTGATGTTGTCTCTGTGTCTGCTCTTAATTTTAGAGACACAGAAAATGCCAGCAAGGCAGAAGTTGAGCAGCTGCAAGCATCCCAGTAAAAACAACAAAAAACAAAGCAAACAAAAAACCCTCTACAGACACTCATTTACTATTCTATATAGGGGTTCATTGGGCCTCATATACTACTGCTGAAAACTCCAACATAACACAAACCTTTGTAACCCTTTTCACAGGAAAGTCACAGTACTACCTTTTTGTTGGTGTTATTTTTAAAAACCAAAATCATTTGCCTTTTTTGTAATTTATTGGTTAAATATAAAGAATTCCTTTCCACAGTTCTGAGTTCTGTAGGAGCATTAGATAAAAGCTGAATCTGAGCTAGCAGTGTGCTCTGGCAGCCAAAGGGGCCAACTGAGCCCTGAGGAACACCAGGCCCAGCAGTGCCAGCAGGCGAGGGAAGGGGCTGTCCTGCTCTGTAGGCTCACCTCCAGCACTGGGTGTGGTGTTGGGTGCTACAATGTAAGGAGGACATAAAACAAACAGAGCATCTGAAGTAGGACTACAAAGATGGTGAAGGGTCCAGAGGGCAAGATGGGTGCGGAGCAACTGAGGCCCCTGGGTTTGCCCTGGGAAAAGCAGCAAAGGTGGTGTTCCCTTCTAGGGTTGGGCTACAAGGAACTCATCAGCCAGTTGGAAGGAAAGCACACTTCTCAGAATCACATTCCAGTTTTGGAAAGCTGCAGCTGAGTATCTTTGACTTTCATTTTAATATACTTCTACCCAGTACAATATTTTAAAAAGTGAAAACAAGCAAACAACAACCCACAACTCTTCAGAAAGCAAACAAAAGACCCAGAGAAATAATGCTACTTTGCTGCTGAACAGCTTGGAAAAATGATAAATCACTGGAGCTCCTAGCCTCAACCAGAAGGACATGGCTGACAATATTCTTAAGCTAACCCAGTAACCAGCAATACATACTAGAACAAGCATGAGATGTTAAGATTCTTGCCTAATTAGTTCAGATGGGAGATCAGACCTGACTGGACATGCTTTCTGTACTTTGCAACCTTTCATAGAAGAGGGAATTCTTCATCAAAACTAATTTTCAAAAAGTCCAATGAAATTAACAAACAAATCCCACTCAAGTTTTACTTGTAATGAGTAGTCAGCATTCTGCTTTCATCTAGAAAGACAAATCTTTTGTGATTATCACCAGTACAACCACCTGCAAAACTGATGAGTGAAGGCATAACACTAGAGCTACAAATTACGTTCAAGCAAACCAGGAAGACTTAAAAGCCCTGCTAGGCACATAATCACAAAGATTTGCAATTTGAAAGACTCGAGTACAATGTAACTGGCACAATCAAGGCGCTACTTTTTAAGACAGTCCCATTATAATCAGCTGAACAGTAGAGGTATATCACTCTGCATAGGTAATGTGCCTTGATGGATTAGTTCCCAATCAAACTGTAACACAAGCATGGAGAAACTCACAGGAAGGATTTGGATTTCCTTATTTTTATTTTTTTTTAATCATCTAAGCATCATCAATCAGTGGATCATCATTACATTCTATTGGCATCAGCAGTTGCATTACTGTCCCCCCAACAAACATTTGTGCGCCTGCTTTACGTATTTGCCTTTTCACCTCTCCAATTACAAAGTAGCTCATCCTATAAAAATTAGGCAAAATAAACACATCGTTACATTGTTGCTGTGAAGAACAGTAAATTTCAGAGTTCAAGTCTTCAGTGAAGGCTGACATCTGCCACCCACGGAGAACGCAGCACTTGTTTGCTCACTACTCATCCTATGGGCTGGGTCTCCAGGAAGAGTGGCTGGACAGCAGGAAAGAACACTCTCCACTTTGCTCACACTATACCTTCTGCACTGAGAAAAAAAAACTGGAATCAAGACTACAATTGCTTCTTTCCAACAACATCTGAGAGCAAGTGTGCTACTTTTCCAGGCAAGAAGGAGAAAAGGAATGAAAGACAACCCAGACAGACAACAAGGAAAAAGTGGACAAGCACCCATAGCCCGTGGCAGCCTAGGCAAGGACACGGAGGCCCTTCAAGGACACACCCCTGAGTTTGTGCAAGGAAGGCCGCAAAGCTGCTGGACTGGAAAGCAGGACCTGCAGAAAAGACCAACGTCCTGTTCTCCCATAAGCAAGGGGACATTTCTACTTAATGTGTCTCACTACAGCAGTTCTGATCAGTCTCTTTAAAGAGTTGCCCCGCTATGATTTAGGTACAGAGCATTTTGGGGTCCCCTTGCACAGTCACTTCAGGAAAAGTAGTGCCATTTCAAGACTAACCTGAAGTCATTTCACCATTAGCCCCAGTCCATCATTCTGTTTTGTGGTGTGCTGTCAGAATGCCATCTGCATAGCTGTACGTGGTTTATCTGAGAGCCTCCACAGAACCACTTCAGCTTCTAGCCGAAGGCCAGTTGGTTATCTGCCTGCCAAGCAGCATGTGTTTGTGGACAGAAAAAGGCTACACACTGGGTCAGCAATAATGAAGCATTCTTCAGCTTTCAAAACATCATACTGCGTCCTAACAGCTGCTCCTTGGCTGCTGCTCCTTATAGCAACTCCTGCACTACTACATAGATCAAAATGTGTCCGAAAAATAAAATTCAAGTCTAAGTTGATTGTTGTTGTTGTTGTTGTTTTTTAGTCTGATTTATCATACGTAAGTTCTAAAGATTTTTTTCCATGAAACAGTACTCTGCTAAGCTGCAACGCCATTTCAGAGGTTTAAATTACAATGAGACTTCTTAATCTTTCAAAGACTGGCTTGATTTTTGTTTTATCTGTTCCACCTTGTTTCAAAGCATACAGCTTTCTTTCTATATACATATATTTGATCACTCCAGCTGGGTCATTACACATTGCCAGAAACAAACTTTCATGTTAAACACCAGAAGCCATATCCAGTTTCAGACCATCAATTTCAGTTCAATAGAATTTGAAGCCACACTCAGAGTTAGAGAGAAAGTGCACCTTGTGAATAATTTCAGTGATTTATCCAGCAGCTCTCAACAGGTTACTCCACAATACAAAGATGCACAATAAAGACCTGCTTACCTTTGTGTAGATTGAAGTGTAAGAAAGATTACAAGCAGTCCTATGCCCCAGTGCAGATTACACTGCACCAGGCATCAAGGACTGTAATTAGCTTTATTTCCAAAAACAAGGGGTGCTATGTCAGAGTTTCCTAATTGCACCAAAGAGCAACAGCAGCAGCAGATTTCAAGACAAAAATGTAATGATAGGGAAGTATAGTGCTAGCACAGCATTATAATAAGCTATGAACACAGCTATTGTTATTAATTACTAATAGAGGGCACACCACTTTTATTTTTTCCAAAGCAGTGCATAAGGCTATATTTGCAATGTAATCTTCTTAAATTATATGAAATTAACATCATGGAGACATGAATTTTTGTCTATAAAGCACTGAAACACTGAACCATAGGAAATAAAAATGCACTGTGAAAGAGATGCTGTCATTCAAGCGCTAGTGATTAATTAAGGTTCTTTTTGCCTGTCTCCTTTATTAGTGTTTTAGAACTACTTTTGTCTGAGTAAAACGAACATATTCCAATTAAAAACAGCTTACCAAACACTTGTTCAAAGTTTTAGACTCAGCGTTCTCTGAATGTTGATGTGCTTTCATTAAAATATTACACCTGAATTATTACAGATTTCTTTTACATCCACACTGAGTTTGAGTAATTTGAATAAAGGCTAGGTTAACATTTCACCCTAACCACTGTTTCAATACAAATGTACATTAACTTCCTTTAAAGAAAGACCCAGTAATGACAGCTCTTTATGATGTACCTCTATTTAGCACTCATATAATTAAAAGCTGGATTTCAAACACTAGCAACAAAAAAGCACAATAAAAAGTTGTTTGTGCAACCATTACAAAGAATAGGAGAGACAGCCCAGATGACGGTGGATTTCACTTTGCAGTGAAGTATGACACAGCATAGAAGAACTGATTCGATAATCCTTGATCAAGTTTCAGTTGACAGTATAGATGGATGATATAAATATGATTTAAACAAAATAGTAAGACTAAAATTTCATGAGGAGTTCACTCAAAAAGCAACACCTAGCACTGAAACCAATTGTCTCATATGTGAAAAGGTGTCAAATTTCTAACAAAATAAATCACACTACTTAATGAAATAAGTATCAGAAGGAAAAAAATACAAGATAATGCATAAAGAAAACATGCTCTGGAAGCATGAAGGTAACACAGGCCATAACAGTATAATCTTGGATGCATCAGGTCTTCAAATACAGTAGCAATAAATGGGCAAAGATTATGAAAGTTTCCCCTTTTAGGGTGCACGTCAATGTTATAATCAGCATATCTTCAAAGAAAATTCAGAAGTAGCATTACTTCCAGTTTTCTC